TTTCTAAAGCCCCTGGACAAGGCTGAGCGAGCACCTTGCCCACAGCCACCCTATGATGGAGTAAACAGGCCAGTGGTTCATCATTCTTTCTCAGATCAGGATACCAGGAGGCTCAGACAGGCCAGAGCCCTGCCCACAATCACACGGCAAGGCTCCAACTCAAGGAACTTCCCCTCACAAACCTACCCCTGGGACTTCCCCCACGTGCTCCCACGTTCCACGACGGTGTGAAGTTTGGTGGGGTCTACAGATCTGCTTTCCAACTGACAGTTTTGCTCCTGAGGCAGCTGCTGCCTAGGTTTTGGCTACTAAGGAAATCAGAGGCAATTTCAGACATAAACATATACACATGTATATAGAGACATATAGATATGTATGTATACACACATTTTTCTCTTTTTAAACTTGCTGTCTTTGATAAACATTTTCATATTTCCCCCTTGTCCAAAATAAGTCCATGGCTCTCTAAGTCATCACGTGGACACTCCCTCCAGCTGAGCAGTCATAATCCACCAAAAGGGGGCCTGGGGCTCCTCTTGCTCCCGCCTGACAGCTCAAAGACACCAGTGAAGAGGCCAGGCCATCCGCCTCTATCTCTCACAGCTGCCTGATCATGTGGTCAGCCTGTTACCTCCCTGGACGATGCCCTTTCCTCCAGGCCCAGGCCCCCAACTTTACGTGGTCACTGTGGAAAGGTACAGTCCTGGCTCTGGGTCTGAGGACATGGCTTCCAATCTAATGGCTGACACTTACAGCCCACTGGACCTCGGGCAGATCACTTAGCTGCCCTGGGCCTCAGTTTCCTCATCTGTAAAATGAGGAGCTTGGGGAGGGACGATGGCCTGGCCTCTGAGGCCCCGGGGCAGCCCCGATCTGCTCTCCATCCACTGGGCTGCGAGCCCTTCAATCTCACCGCATGAAGAAGAGTTTAAACAGTTCATCGAGACTTCCCGTGAATTAAAACAGCATGAGGCTGTAACATCAATCCCCACACCAGCAACATCCAAAGGATGTACTTCTTTTTTTCTGGGGGTGTTACAAAGTTCTCAGAAAGTTAAACCCAGTTAAATTGCTTTTACTTTAGAAACAATGACGGCTCACAACATTCTCACGAGCAGAGTGGCTGGCGGGAAGAGGGGGCCATACCCTTCTCACTGATGGGGGCTGGTGGTCACTGATCTACTGTTGCCGTGTTCTTCCCCACCCAAAATACCTGAGCTTTCAGACCCTTGGATCTAGGGGTCTCACTGGGTTTCAAATCCTCAGGGGCCGAGGACAGAAAGGATCAATGTATTCGACAGTCTCCAAAACAGCTGCAAAAAGGCTGTTTATAACAGAAAAACAAACCACAAAAACGACCAGAGAAGATTGGCTCAACAAAGGGAGACGTGGCAACGTAAGGGAACGAGGCAGGGAAAGACGCAGAGTGGGATTCCCGGGGCTGCCAGCAGAGACCACTGGCTTCTCTCCAGCTCAAAGAGGACCCAGGAGGTGACGTCAGGGGGCCTGGGTCCCAAGTCTGGGCTCACCGATGGAAGAGCTGCGCGGCCTTGGCCAGGCGCATCCCTCTCTCCCAGCTCCCTCTACAAGATCCCCATGACTCGTCTAGGGTTACACAATCCCCAAGGGCCTGGTCCTCCTGACTGAGCCCAGCTCTCTAGCCCCCTGGCTATGCAAGACTTCAAAGGAATGAATGAAAAGCAATGACCAAGTGCTTACTATGTGCTAAGCACCATGGAAAGGGGCAGAGGTGGGGCACAAACAGGAAAAGCCAGACAGTGCCACATCCTAACTGGGGAAGTGCCGCCCCTGAGAGAGCTGGCCCACGGGGAGGGCGACTGAGGACACAGACCCCAGAGGCAAGGCCAAAGATCAGAGTCCGGGTTCGCTGCTAACCATCATCCTCTGGTTAAGAAATGTTCAGTGTGGACTCAAGAATGATCACCGGGTCTGCTGGATTTACCCGACATGGTCTATGGAAGCGGCTGGGGAGGGCAGTTTATTGGGAAGCCCCTCACAAGTCAGGGGCAGCTAGGTGGTGTCCTAGTGCACAGAGTACAGGGCCTGGAGTCAAGAACAGTCCTTTTCCTGAATTCAAATTCGGCCTCAGACACTTCCTAGCTGTGCGACCCTGGGCAAGCCCCTTCACCCTGTTAGCCTTAGTGTTCTCATCTGTAAAATGAGCTGGAGAAGGAAATGGCGAACCACTCCACTCTCTCTGCCAAGAAAACCCCAAATGGGGTCACGAAAACTCATACAAGACTGAAACAACTGAAAACAAAAAACTCCCAAGTTAACACAAAATGTAAGATTAAAAACAATCTCAAGGCTTTTTGAAAAGACCTTTTGCCTCACACTCACACATACACACAGACACACACACATACACACACACACACACACACACACACACACACAGGGTAGCTACCATGCGGCACAGGTATCATCTTCTCAGCATCTCAGGGTTCTACCCCAGACCAGGGGGCGGGAGGGTGTCCTGACTGGGATTCTGAGACTTCCTCGGACCCCAGCGTCTCTGTCTCCTCCACTGAGCTGCTCACCCAGCCTTAGGAAAAGGTACTGCCACGTGACAATGTCTCCACCATGGGGGGAACCCCAAAGCCTCAGTGTCATGGAGCTGGAGGGCGTCCCATCCTCCAAACCACCAGACTTACTACAATTAACTTTAATGTCTGTTCTTGAACGACAGAAAAGCACTCGCAGTTAATATGCCCATCGCTAGGATGCAGAGTCACTCAGCTCCTGAGACGTGACCTACGATGGGCTGGGTGAAACCAAATGCGGCCGACATCAAAGATGCTACAAGTTGTAATCTGCACAATGTTGTAAAAATGGATTTGCTGGCGATGAGAAGCCTCAGCAACTTCAGGAAGTGAAAGTCTTCCCAAGAAGCAGTCACGACTGTCATGTACTGAGGCAGTCAGGCTAAATTCACAGCTATGAAGGATTTTTAAAGAAACTGAGGCCTCACCAGTGACTGCACTGGGGTAGCAGGGCTGCAGAGGGAGGCCCCTGGAGGACCTGCCAGAAAGACCTGTACTTGGCGTAACAGGGAGGCCTGCGCGCTGAGGCTGCTTGCAGAGGAGTCCATCCCGGGGTCCACCACGGGGTCCTTGTGCCACTCAGCCCTGCTAACGGCCGGGTCAGAAGCTCCTGCTAGGGAGAGGCAGCAGTGGCGCAGAGAGAGGAGAAGGAAGAAGGCTCGGGTTCAAAACACACTTTAGCGGTTGCTCGGCCCAGGCACACCACTCAGCCTGGACTTCAGACTCCTCCTCTGGAAGGCGGGGATCATTAGAGGTTTGGTTTGGTTTTTGTGGGTCGGTGAAATAATGGATGTAAAGTTCTTTGTATGTATTTTACCTACGTTTATGGATGGACGTGTCGTCCCTCCCCCAAGAACGTAGAATGTAAGCTCCCTGAGGACAGGCAGTATTTGGCTGACAGGAGCACTCTGAAATGTTTGTTGATTGACTGTAGGCAGCACCTGGCCTGGAAGCCCTTCTGCTCTAATGAGGGCATCCATCCATCCTAGTGGAGGAGGACCGCCTCTGGCAGGTGATTAGGAAGGCCTGGGATCATGGCCTGTCTCTGACACACACACTGGCCGTGTGTCCCTGGATGCAAGATGCTTGGCTGCAGAAAGATTGCCAATCTGCATTAGAAGAGGGGAGGGAAGGGAGGAGGGGGGAAGGGAGCAGCCAGGCCCTGTGTTAAGCGCTTTACAAATATTATCATGGCTGAGCCTCACGAGAGCCCTGGGGGGGGGTCAGTGCTGTTCTTATGCCCATTTTATAGATGAGGAAACTGATGCTGCCCATGCTGTGTCCACAGCTAGGAAAGGTGAGGCTGGATTTGCACTCAGGTCCTCCTGCCTCCAGGTGCTGTGGCCCCCCTTTGCTGCCTCCCTGAGTAGCTCCCCAACCCTAACCCCCGTCTGTAAGCTAGCAGGGGAGGTTGGGGGAGGAGAAGCCTCCTGGAAAAGAGGGAGCCAGAGCCAGGCCTGGCAGATGGCAGTGGAGGCTACTGGGGGTGGTGGGCTTTGGGTGCAGAGGACAGGAAAGGGAATGAGCCCCGGGAGGCATATGGGGTGCCCTTGACCTCTGAGAAGAGCCTCCCCTTCTGAAGGCTGGATGACCATTACTAAGGATACTGGGGGAGGGCTTGGGCTGGCCAAGGAGGCCACCGCCAGCCCATGTCAGAGGCTTGTCCTGACTGCGATTAACGGTATTGAAGCAAACATCAACCCAATCCCCCCAAATTCCCCAGGAGGAGAAGCCAGTCAAGAAGCTTTGTCCAGACTAGGTCAGGGTCGGTGGTTTTCGTCCGATCACGGAGGGGAAGAGCCTGGGGTCTTGCTGGACGCGGGGGACATCCCTGGAAGCTCAACCTTGAGGGCCAGCTTTGCCTTCGGGCTGCCCCAATGCCCTGATTCCCCGGGTACCACTGTGTTAGGAGAAATGCCCAACAAGCCGGACAATCGCCAGCCCTCCCCTCGAGAAGAGCAGTGCGGCCTGAGAAGCAGAAGCACCCCTGCCCCTTGGCGGGTCCTCACACACACACGACGGACGGCCCCTCCTGAAGGAGGCCCTCAGAGGAGAGACAAAGCTCTCGTGTATGGCAGAGGGTCAAGGCCAGGGGAGCCCCAGTGAGGGCCCCAGTCTGCATCCACCAAGAGCGCGAGCCTCCAGATACTGACCCTGAGCCACGGCGGCCACAACCACCCAACGTGGACGTTCAGGACTGAGAGAACCAAGAATGATGCCGAGCGGATGGCCACGTGGACGTCTTTGGTGAATGCCAAGCGTCCTTGGCCTTCTGCCCTAAGCTGGATCCCACTCCTCAGGGAGGCCCCCGGGGAACGAGGCCAGTCTACACCGGGGTGACCAGCCCCCTGGCCTTCTGGCCGTCCTCCCCACACAACGCCCCCTCCCACCTCCGCGCCTGGCTCCGGCATGCGGGGCACAGAGACAAGGACCTACCTACAGCAGGAGCGTCGTACTCATCCCCAAGCAGAATCTCGGGAGCAGAATAGGCAAGAGACCCACAGCTTGTGGTAAGCTTCTTTCCAGGCTGGAATTTGTTGCTGAAGCCAAAGTCCGTCAGCTTGACAAGTCCTTGTTTTTCAAAGAAGACCACATTCTCGGGCTTCAAGTCTCTGTGGACCACGTGAAGTTTGTGGCAGTAAGAGATAGCATGGACTATCTGAGCAAAGTACTTCTTGGCGAGGTCTTCATTAAGACCCTCTTCATGTTTCATGATGTAGTCAAACATGTCTCCTCCATCTCCAAGCTCCAGGATAAGATAAAGCTTGGTCTGAGTGTCAATGACCTCGTAAAGGCGCACGATGTTGGGGTGCTGCACGAGCTTCATGCAGCGGACTTCTTGGAAGAGGTGACCGGTGGCCAGAGTGTCCAGTTTGGTCTTGTCAATGACCTTCACAGCCACTTTTTCACCTGTAAAAACGTGCCTGGCGAGTTTGACCACAGCAAAGTGGCCCCTGCCCAAGGTCTTATCCAGGTCATACAAACCCGCGATTTTCCCATCATAGCCTCTCTTGAAACCTGCCATGGTGTTCCAGGGGAGGGAGGGACACTCAAACCGCCTGCCAGGCTCTTCTCAGAGAAGGCTCTCTGATGAGAAGAACTCGTCCATGTTTGCTGTCCCCAAATACATCTGCAAGACAAGGAGAGAAAAAAGGGACTATTTGTAACTCTGCCTTTCAGTGCTTTGTTTCCTAACAAGAACCACACATTCTCATTCTCTAGGAATAAAACCATTTTAAGACACAAAACAAGAGCATGTTACGAGAATCAATCGCTCGGCTGGTGAATAACACCCTAAATAACCTTGACATACTTAAATCTGCACTATCTCATATGAGAATTCAAAAACCACTGGAAAATTATACTTTCACTAAGTATTACTTTTTGCTATAATTAAAACAATATGAAAATTAGCAAATGTCGATGAACTTTTAAAAGCTAATGCTTTCACAAAGTAGATTCCACTCTCTGCTATAAATTAAGCCAGGTTTGGTGAAATGATCAATATATGGCCAGCAACCAAAAACTAGGGGTTAGCTTTCTCTATCCCCCCCCAAAAAAAGGCAAGGTATTTTTTAAGAGTTAAGGCAAGATAGGTTAGAAATCTAAGCAAAAGCAACATTCTAGGACTTTTATTATATTCACTTAATTTAGTCAAGAGAACTTTGCAATTGACATACAGTCTTACTATATTCATAAATCAAACACATGGTTTGACTTCATGCCCACATTTCAATACTTTAAAAGACTTAATTAGTGTAGGTAACAGCTTCACCAATGCTGACTGTAAGCATTCCACATCTTCCTAGACCACTTCATTCATTCCTGTGGTCAGAACAATAATTCATCAACTGTTGATCAACCTGTCCATGAGCACTGTGATTTTAACAACGCCCATAAAAAACCTAATTCAAGGAGTCGTATAGAATTGGATGAGACAACTAACTGGGAGGTTGCTTTTTTTTTTTAAACTAGCAAGGAATCAACACTCTAAAGCACTAAAGTCCAAGGAATATGCCAGCGACCTGACCTATGGATTCCTGTTGTCTCTCTCCCCACCCCACCCCCAGACTTAACGTATCTTCCTGTCATTTCTTTTGTCTTCACAAAGATGGTTCTTTTCCATTCCCTTAAAACACAAATCTACACAGTCAGGGAATGCACTTTATCTTTCAGCTCTCAATGTAAAACATTAGCCTCTAATGTCATTCACTGAAGAGTACTTCTCAAATTTGTGATGACGGAGACAGCGGGATGCAAACTCCTTTAGAGTAGGGGTCATTCCTGCCTTTTCCTTTATATCCCCCAAAAGAAATATATACTGTGCCTTGCCCATAATACACATTTGTTGAATGAACAGTCAAATTCATGTCTGATAAATATAAACTTAAAAGTTAACAAGTATCATCTAAGACTTGAGACCAGGCTACTCAGATTAATTTCTATTAAATCCTTTTATTCAAAAAAGACTTCTCAAGGATAACAACTGCTGGAGTCAGAGCCTCCTCTTTGCAAGAGATTGCAGCTCCCTGGCTGTATGACCCCGGTCAAGCCATTGACTCCCATGGGCCCATCTTTTCATCTCTCCAACAGGGAGCAGACCTAGAGTAGGTCCCTCAATGCTAGGAGACTTACAAACTCCACTATAAAAACCAGTGAGAAGCCATTCCAAGGCAGTCCTACAAATTAACAAGCTTGCACATTTGTCAATCCTAACCAGGGGAAACGGAGCAATAGCACCAGAGTAATTTAACGACCAATCCACGCCTTTTAATTTTTCAAGGAAATCTGTGTTTGCTGGGCAACCTGAGCTCTGTGCCTGACAACACTGGCCGATACAGAAAAGGATTCTTTGGAACCTACCTTCAGTTTGGAATGTTCACAGCAAAGGCCGAGCCTTACTTTCAGCTGCTTGTTTTCATTATTCCCCCCCACCCCCCGCCAGGGTGGCATGAGAGGTAAGGGATGACCTTTTTAAAACAAAACACTGAACTACCTCCTCTTCAGCACCCACCCCAGCCTAACCCATCCCTAAGGAGGGGGTTGAGAGGTTAGCTCAGCGTAGGCCAGAGCCTCCTACCCATCCTTAGCATGACAGAGAAGAAATGAATAGCCTGGCAAAATCAAATGGCTTTCAAGCCAAGCCAAGCCAAAGTCAGATCTTCATAGCCCAGCTTCCAATACTGCCCAAACACCCAGATGCAAACAGAGGTCCCGCAGCTTCTCAGAGCAAACAAGAGGCCTTGTTATCTGTACTGCATGGCTTTCTTTCCATTGACACATGCACCAAAGAGCTGACATCTGAAAAAATCTGTCCTAAAACCATAAATAAAAAATAAGAGCTCCCTTTATCCACAGAACACAGTAGTCAGGCCTATCTATGGGGGAAGAAATCAATTTCAGGGGCAGGAACTAGTGTTCTCTCACTAAGTATACTAACCCTGATCTTGCTAAAATTAGGAAAAAACAAGTGCTAAGAGTGATGATAACGTATGAGGAAAACTATCTATTAAGTACTAGAACAATCCACTTCCTTTAAAAACAAAATGTAGTGCAAGGCTGTGCATTTCAAAAGAAACAGAGTTTTAAAAAATCAGGCCCACTCTGCAGCCCAGCCTCAGCTCCTGTGTCCCTAACAATACAAAGAGCACTGAAAGTCATGGGATCTTTCCCGTGCTGGTATGAGGTCCCCTCTCCTCCCCGCCCCCAATTCAGGACCCCCGCAGCAGGAGGGCAGTGAGCACCCTAAGAAGGAGGATCAGATAGATCGCCATTCTGGTCATAGAGTGACCCAAAGGCCTCGACATCTCCAGTGGCCCTCGCCTCAGGGCCCAGTGCCTAGCAAGCACTTGTTGCCTGATTGAAGCCACAGCTGTGTGAGCCTGGACCCCCCTCTGGGACCCGTCTGGTAAGGCCAATGCTTTGAAATAGCAGAAGGAAAGGAAAAGTTTCAGTTCGAGGTTTTTGATAAAGATGGAATTGTTTTTCCATACGAGTTCACAAACTCCCTGAAATCTAGCCATGGACCCCTTGGCCTATGTACCCTCATTTAAGAACCCCTTCTCTAAAGCTATATAAATTGTTTAAGAGCCATCGATCCACCCAGGCGAAGGGAGTTAACAGACAGACAAAATCACAGAAAATAGGAAAATAAGAATTAATCATAGTAGTCAAATGCTACATTTGTAAATCAAAAATGAAAAATGCAGAGAAAGAAAGGTTCATATTCCTGCAACTTTCCAGAACACCCTCCCAGGCCACTGTACCCCTCTACCAGTGGTTTCCTCCATTAGAATGTAAGCTCCCTGAGGGCAGGCACTGCCTTGTTTTGGTGTGGCTAGCACACAATTAGCATTTAATAAGTACTTGTACCTTCATTCAAAACTGTCCAATATCCAAATCAAAAGCTGTCGCATGAGATAAACATGCGACTGAATGAAAGCAAAGTGGAGAATATGGAAAACTAAACAGCGTGAGTTGCCTTTAGTTTTTTATTCTTATGAAAATGTTCTTATAGTGAAGATTGAGTCAACAATTCTTTAATCAGGCAAAGTGCCAGACTATAAAAATGCATTCTATAAAGTGGCATCCCCAGTGTTCATTTCAATCAGCTTGGGGTACTGCTGAGGTTTTTTTAGGTTTGCTCCCAATTTTCCATTGACTTGGAGACACCTTGCCCTCCCACTTAATGAATTTCTCTATTCTACTAAATGGCCATTTCCCAGGTTCCTTCCCTCATCTACACATGATAAAAATAAAGGATAGAACTGTTAACATAAATACATATATATATATATAATACATATACACATATATGCGTGATATTAAATGATGTTTAATAAATGTTTGTTGACAGAAAGAAGAAGGAAGGCAATAGCAGAAGGTCAGATGGGGGTGACCAACAAAGTCCTCCTACAGAAGGTAGAATTTTAACTGAGTCTTGAAGGAAGCCCACCACTGCAAAAGGCCCAGAGAGAGGAGACAAGAGTATTATATTTGAGGATAGGCAAGTAGGCTAGAACACAGAATACACAGAAAGAAGCTAAACATTAGATTCCGGAGGCTTTGGGGAGCCCCTGAAGGTCATGGGGTGAGGGGGAGTGACACGGTCAGAGCTCCCACTGGCTGCCTTCCCACTGTCTTTGGAGTGCCTCTGGTTCTTCAGTACCCGAGTTACGCCATGTGGTAGGGCTCCACAGTATCACTGGATGAATAGTGGGGTTACAAACAGAGGGGGCCATCATTAAGCACTAGAGTCAACATAAAGCAGTTTCCTAATCTAGCTGGTGAGATGAAACATGGAGAAAAGCAACTGTGTCATTTCAGGATTTCTAATCAGAAGCAGGTATACTCCAGAATTTAGAAAAAAAGATTTCAAAAAATTTAGAGGAAAGATAGGCCTGATGACCTCATGTCCCAAAGCTAAAAGGAATGATAAAAGGCTCCCAAACACAAAGCCTGGCAAATGATCGATCCTGCCCAGGAAGTAAGAGGGAGGTATTTAAAGAGACGCCTAAGACTTGGAGAAGCACCTGCCAGAAAACGCAAACGGCAAGGCAAACCCAAAGGCAAGGCAGAACAGGCATGAGGAAGACGGGACAGCCACCAAAGAATGACCCCCAGAAGAAGGGTCTCAGCAACGAGAAAGCCAGAAATGAACGATGGCTTGTTAAAAAAAAAAAAAATGCTGAGGACAAAGAGGAGAGCTTTTTAAGGAATGTTTGGTGTGAAAAGAACAAATAAAAAGTGAAATTACTCAACTCCCATCTCGCTTCCCTCACAATCCCCAAAATGGAAAACAGAATAGACAGGGTTAGGATGGAATTGTAGCAACCACAACTCACGGCATCTCTGTAGGGCTTTGCTTACATATCTGATCCGTACGACTACCTGAGCGGTAGTGAGGAAACTGAGGCAGACAGAGGTCAAGTGACTTGCTTGGGGCCACACAGCTAGGAAGTATGTCAAACAGGATTCAAACTCAGGTCTTCCTGACAGCAAGTCCAACACTCTTAACCACTGAACCATCCAGCTGCCTCTGGAGGACTAAAGCAGCTCAGAGATGAAATCAGCAAAGAATTCCGGAGAACAGAAAAGGTTCCAAAAGACTAGAAACAGGCAAAAGGTGAT